AAGTCGGTTGCTTGACCCATATACTGTTTAATCCTGTCTTTAATTTAAGAATTGAAATCAATTTTTATTTGTATCTCAAGACAATTTCTAACTGCAAACAATATCACTTAATAAAGTGATAGTTTTTATATTTCTCCTCCCAACCTTTACCATCTTTGCAAATGAGGCACATTCTTCAGGGGGAAAAAATGGAGCCAAATGTTTTCCAGAAACCATACTTCTTTGAACTCTTTTCCTTTCTTTTCAAAATGGATAATGGATGGAATTATAGGAAGCTGATAGCTTTGTCTGGTTTCCCCTGAGTGATGTATCTGTGCATGGCTCTGTTCTTCCCTACTCCCAGGTTCCAGATCATAGCCTTAAGAAAACAGTTTTATTTTAGGGCTGAAAACATCCTTGTAACTTTCCATTGCCTCTTCAGGATGGAACATTTTTTTAAAACTCCATGTTTACAATCATTGATATAATCTTAACTCCTAATTAAAATACACACTTGCTATTCCAATGGGATACATTTTGGTATTTTGTCTTTTTAGTTACTTTTATTGAGGGCATATATGTGATATAATATATGTTCCTTGTATAGAATTTGGAAAGTACATATGAGTTCAAAATGAAAATAAACTTTCATATCTTTATAACTCTTAATATCATTGTTAATATTTTAAATGTTTCCCTGAATATTGAATGTATTCAATACTGTATAAATGTTTATATGTGTGTGTGTGTGTGTATTCACTCACTCTTGAAGAAACATGAATAATAATGATCCTTTCTTAAAGGATCTAGTCAACAAATTAAGTAAAATAATACATGGTTAGAGGAAGAAAGCAATAAGCAATTAGAAAACTGCAGCTAGTTTGCTGTGGAAGATCAAATGCAAGAGAAATTAGCAACTGTTTTGTTTTGGGGTTTGGGGAGGTTGTTTTTGGTTTTCTTTTCAGTTGATTGGTTTGTTTTGTTTTGTAATTCTTTGTAAAATCCTGACCACTGTGACACTTCACATATTCAAGTGATCTGAGGAACAAGGGGCTGTCGATAGAGATACAGACACAGGCTTCACTTCCTGTGCCTGGTAGCAGGTACAGAGAAGGAACTCAAGAAATATTTGTTGAATATACAAACAAGCAAATCAAATTTCCCACTTTTAAATAAGTAACCATTTAGTTAACCCATGGTTGGGCACAGGAAGGTATTTTAAGTGACTGGCCCATTTGTGTTCACTGGGGCCTGAGCTTTCCTCCCCCATCCTCTGGCTGCATTCTGATCACAAGAAAACTGAATCCAGGTAAGCCCACATCTAGGTAGGAGTGCAGAGCAGGGCAAGGTGAGCAGAAAATGCTACATTATTTTTTTCTGTAGGTCTCAGCATTGCCCCTTGCTGAGGGCTGTCTGTTGTGGGCTTCTGTTTCTACAGATCCCATGTGCCTGCTCAGAACAATCGCACCTCCCTGGACCTCTCCCATTCACGCTCAGCTTAGACCTGCCTGGTTCTTCCAGTGCTGTTTATTTCTCCAGGACTTAATTCCTGGCATGTCAAATTCCCTGTCTCTTGAGGTCTACTCTATGTGGACAAAATGGAAAAGCAAATGAACAAACTTATTAATTAATAATCTTATTTTATATATAATCTAAGTCAATAAACTCTGGCCCCAGGGCCTGATAGTAACTATATGATTCACCCTCCAAGCAAACCACATAGCAATCATTTTCCTCTTCAAGTCAAAGAACTGAACATCCAAAGACAGACTTCAAAACTTGTAGACCTCCAACTTTTCCTTTCTTCATAAGTCATTTTTGTCTTTGCTATTCATGACCTCTCTGTTGTCTTTCTCTTAAGCCTTTAAGAAAGCTAAATTAGACCCTAAGACTACTACTAAGTCTTCACAATTTAGATTTCATTAGGGACTCGACCAGGTTTCAATTTTCTGTGAATTTTCTGGAATGGGGAAATACAGAGGGAAAGCTATTTGAATTCATAGATCTGTGCTTCACTTTAGCAAATAATAATATCAATGATACTTTTACCAAATCACTTTCTTGCCTTTTAGGTATTTGAATTGTTTGAATATTTTAAGCCAATTTTTAAATCAGACATGATAAATATTATTTCCTATCCAATTGTCATATGCTATCTATGAAAAAAATTATGTTGTTTTCCTTTTCTATTAAATTCCATTCAACTGTCTTCCTTCGTAAGGTCAGAGAATAGTGTAAAGAGCTTTGAATTTTTTTTTTGTCAAGGCTTCTGTAATTTTTCTGAAGCTGGCCATGATTTACTTTAGCATAGATCACAAGTCTGACAATATAATTACATAGCAACTGTTTGCTCTCTTTAATGATTCTTTGATTTTTATGAATACAAGGAGAGGGAACTGATTGGGAAATTACTATAATGATTCTTTAGTCCATCACTGCCAATCTTCACTTTGTGATGATAAGAAACTTCCATTGATGGTTCTTCAGTTCAAAATATCCCCAGTGTTTGATGAGGGCTTGCTCTCTGGTTCTGAAGTAGTTTCTTCTAACTATGTCCTTACATGGTGGAAGGACAAGGCAGCTTCCCAAGTTCTCTTTTATAAAAAGGACACTAATCGTACTCATCATGGCTTGATCCTTATGACCTAGTCACCTCCTAAATTTTCCACCTCTCATGCATGAGGGATAAGATCTCAAGATATGACTTTTGGGAGACACAGACATTGAGACCATGACACAGGGCAGTCAGTTAGGAGGAGGCTGGTACAGTAATCCAGGAGAAAGAGGATGGTGGCTTGGCTTAGTGTGATGGCAGAAGAAATTAAAGCTTTTGAATTCAGGTTATATATTGAAAGTATAATTAATAGGACTTACATTTAGGTTAGATTCTTCTTTTGGCAAAGAAAGGGGAAAAATATCAAGACTGAATCTTAGTTTTAGTACCCAATTGGGTAGATGAAAAGAATTGTGGAGGAGGGAATTCTGGAGCATGGGAGAAAGTTAGTGGTTCTGTTTCAGCCATGCTGCTCTTGAGATGCCCATTAGACATCTAAATAGAGATTAAGTGGATGATGAGTGAGTCTGGAACTCAGTAAAGAGGCTGGGCTGCAGATGGATTAGCTTCCCTGGAAGAAAGTGTAGAAGAGAGGACAGAATGTATCTGAAACCAGGCATCATGTAGCGACTGTATAGAGAAGTGAGCAGAGGAGTCTAACATGTTGAGCCCTGTGAGAAATCAGAAAATAGAGCAACAGGGTCATTATTGCCATTTTGTCTCAAAAGCCTCTGGAGGAAAGTGTTTCAAAGGGAGAGAAAAAATCAATCTCATCAAGTGCTTCGGTGAGTCAAAGAAAATGAACAATTTGGCAAAGCCTAGGCCATTGAAATGTGGGATGAGAAATGCAGGGAAGATAAAGGAATAGATGGTAAATAACCTAGATTGAGGAGGGAAAAGGTAGTATTTGGGATCTGGGGTCATTACTGGGGGGATCTAGCTATGGGGCATCTATAATCCTTTTTGTGGGTTATTATAATGACAAATTCTAGGAACAAGGTTAGAGCACGGACTGCATAACCAGACATCCCGGACCAAATCCTGTCAATGAATGAGATTTGTTGGGCTCATGGACTCAGATGTCCCAGGGAAGTCTAACCTGCCCTTATGGCTTCCATACTGCAGAGTTGCTTTGGCTAAACTTCTGACCAAGTCCTTGGTGAGACAGACCCCTGCCAGTGATGTGCTGCCAAAGAGGATGACATTCCCAAACAGGGGAGCACCACTCTTTGAGCAACAGGACAGCAATAAAGAATGAAGTTAGGCACAAATCAGTAATGATGATAATGGAAAGCCAAAACTAGAATCATAGAGATGCAGATAAAAAGGCTATGGGGAGACTTACAGAGGTTCCACCTGAGTGAGGACCAAAAGGAAGCAGAGGCTGGGTTTGCGGGGATTAGGACCTTCCAGTGCAAGAGGAATCCATGAGAGGAGACTCAGTGGTGTGAAATCTCATTTGAATATAAGGCCTGCTTCAATTTTGAGTTTAAAAAGGAGAGTTTGGGTAGAATAACAGAAAGTTCAAATGTCAGATTGAATGAATTAGGCTGAATTTACTAAGAATGAGATGCCAGGGAGGTTTGGGCCCAAAAAGGTGATATGAAGAGCAGAATGGTAAAAGCATAAAAGGGGACTCCAGTCAAGCATTCAGCTCAGAGGCCTGGGGAAAGGAACAAAATGCTACAAGGGAAAAGAGACCTCAGGGGTTATATGAGAATAGCAGAATTGCTGCTCTTTTCTCTTCCTTCCTGGTATCCACTCATCTTACCAAACCAAAATAACCTGATTTAAAAGTAAAAGAAGGATATTCTATACGTGCACATTCTTTTTCTGGACTTTCCTCTCCATCCCACCTTTTTATTCTAGCTATGTTTCCTATGATTCTGTAAGCTTGGAGCAAGGATAATTCAAAGTTAAATTTCTGCAAAAACTAGAACTAGAAAATATTTTGCTTAAAATTTCTGACCACACCCTAATGCCATTTACATGAACTCATAAAGAAGGAGATTATTCACATCTGACCACAGTTTCCAGAGCCTGAAGGAGACATGAGGATATTATATCATCCTTAATCAACCCTTCGAGTCAGAACTTGATTTTAGTTGCCTGGAAACTTGAAATTGTGTTGGGCTGACTAGGGCAGGGTCCAGCTAGTTGGGGCTAAGTTGCTGTAATTGAAGGAAAATGCTCCTAGAGATTCATACACAAGAGGACTCTTTCGAAAAATACATCAAAAACCAAATTGCCCAATCCTTCCCTTCCTTGAGCAACTGCATCTGTAGTTTTTCAATTTACACAACTCGTTTTTCTCCTTTTTGCTCATGCATGAAATATCACCTGAAAGCTCCGCTAAATAGTCTTATAAGCTAGAGACACAATCAAACATTCAATTTAAGTAAGAAACTAATTTATGAATGCATCACAAGAACAAATCATTAACATTATTCTTATGGTTAGGGTATCCTCATACCATCTCAAAAGAGGGTGAAGATGACTATGATGGCCCACCAGTACCCTTCCTGGATCTTCATCAATGAGAGGACATTCATAACCAGGTAACTATATACCTATATTATATGTCATCTTGCTCACCAGTTACCTGCTCAGTGAATGGGGTTAACATTTTTGTTATTATGAAGACTACAAGGGGAGAAGGTTTGGGATAGAAGTAATATGGAATATACCATTCAGAGTTGTATAAGCTTGATAAATGATTAACAAGATCAACAGTTAGAATCATCACTTGAGATTCTGGATAAGAAGTTGAAAAAGTATATTCCTAAGACCACTAAAACCATACTCTCTTGTGGAACAGTCACTCATAGTTCATTAATGGTGGTTTGGGTTCCATAAAAGTTACATTTCTGCTTTAATAGTTGCAGTGATCTTGAGAGCAGGATTAAGTGAAGGCTCCAAGGCTCCTCATAAAAGATACACCCAAAGAATTGGCTCTGTGGCCAATAACATTGTGTTCTCTCCTGGCCTCTCCCTTCCTTGCTCCTCAGGACACACTTCTTTTTTCCTGGTTCCCACTGGTGTGCTGGTTATTTAATATACAGGTAACATGCACAAGTGTTTTCTTATGCATGGTTATAGCATCTTATGTTGCTCTGGAAATAATAGAGGAAGGGTTTTAAAACTTTAAGAGCAAAGATGAGTACTAAACCTGGCCAAGCACAGGTAAAGACTTAGAAAAGAAAAAAAATAGTCAAAAAAAGAAAAAGAAAAGAAATAAAGAAATAACCATGACCAAGTCAAACAAGGGATGGGACAGGAAATAAGGCCAATGGAACAGGGAAGTGGGTGATACTGATGGGGGCTAGGAAGCAGAGGGAACGAGGAACTAATATGGTCAAAGATTTAAAGAGCTAGAGGACAAGGGTGAAATATGAGGGTAGGAAGAAGACACAAAGTGAAAGAGAGGATCCCTTTATTCATTCCTCAAATACTTACTGACTGCTCACTGCGGAGAGATACTTTTCTGAATCTGAATATTCAGCAACGAACCCAACAAAACCCTACTTTTAGGGAGTTATATTTTGTGCCCAGGAGCAGGGGGATATAGTCCATATGAAGGATAAATGCTGAAAGTTGTGAGAAATAAAAATGAAATAGTAAAGGGAGTAAAGAATATTGGAGGTAGCCCATGGGAAAGGCTCTGTGTTCAGGCCTGAGAGGGGAGAGAGCATAGGAACAAAAACTGCAGGTATGTGGCTGGAAGAATTCCAGGCAAAGGGGAGAGCAAGTCCATAGCCCAGAGGCAGGTGCATATCAGTGAGTGTTGAGGAGGCCAGTATAGGTAAACTGAAAGAGAAAGACCTTAGGGGAAAGTGAAGAAGGTTTGGGATAGAAGTAGACAGAGACAAAATGGGGCCAGAACATTGGAGTTTCATAGACTATTATTTCATAGGCTATTGACCTTTCTTACAAAATAAGATAAGAAGCTGAGGAAGAATATGAACACATGAGTGACAATACCAGTGTGGCTGCTGTGTTAGGAACACATTGGAGAGGGTGCAAAGGTGGAAGCAGAGAATTACCATGGAGCTGATAGTCCAGGGTAGAGATGATGGTAGCTTGGACCAAGGTGGCAGCAGTGGAAGTTGAAAAAATTATATATATGGTCAGATTTTAGTCAGCCCTTAATAACTATGAGTTCCACATCTGTGAATTCTACCAACCTCAACTTAGATATATTAGGGGGGGGAAATGTGTCTATATTGACAATGTGCAGACATTTTTCTTGTCATTATTTCCTAAGAAATATAACATACCAACTATTTATATAGCACATTTACACTGTATTGGGTATTATCAATAATTTAGAGATGATCTCAAGTCTACAGAGGTTTTTGGAGGTGATAGGCAAATCCTACATCAGTTTATGTCAGAGTCTTGGGCATCTGAATATTGTGTTATCTGCTGGGGCTCCTAGAACCAATGCCCTGCTCAGACAGAGGGACAGACTATATTTTAAAGGAAGGAACAATAGGATTTCCTGAAAGACTAGATGTGAGATATGAGGGAAAAAGAATAGTCCAGTATGATTGTAATGATTTTGGTCTAAACGAATGAGGTAACACTTTCTGATATTATGAAGACACAAGAAAGAGCAATTCTGGGGTAAAAGACCAAGAATTCCTGGACATGCTACATTTGAGATTGAATACAATCACCAAGGGGATGAGTGTAAATATGAAGATTCAAGGACCAATGTTAGAAAAAGCTGAAATGAAATTGGAAAAGAAAAAACAGAAGGCGAGGCAGAAGAGCCTCCGGTGAAAAGTGGACAGAATGAATGTGGAGACTGGACAGAGAGGAAAAGCAAGTGTAGAGGGTAAAATAGAGAAGACACCACTTTGAGTCATCAAGGAAACCCAAGTATTGATGGAGATTCACAAAAAGGGAAGTTGAGGAGATGGGCAGTTGAAAGGCAGAGGCCAGTGAAGGTCACAGTCACATAAAACAGAAGGAGGTGGACAGAAAGGTGCTGGAAAAGACTGAGAGATAGTCCCCTTCCCTCATTGCCTCTTCCCAAAGAGAATTACAGAAGGAAGAGAAGTGCCTCTAAAGATACCGTCTGCACCTGTGTTCCTTTTGCCTACAGGTTTTCTGTGCAATTAAAACAAATTTACTCCACTGACGGAGAGGGAAGTTTGGAGAAGAGACAGTATGTAGCCTTAGAGGCAGATGAACAACCTGTGTCGTTATTTTCCTGTTACGCAGCTCTGCTTGACTCAATTCAGCTCACAAAAGTATGATTCCCACCCTGTCCTGCCAGGACACTGGTACACCAAGGCCGTCCCTCTTGGTCTGAAGTTACCATCCTTTTCCCTCAGTCTACTTCAGCTGTGATACAGTAGCTCTCTACCTTCTATCCCAAGGAAGCAAAGGCTTCTCTCAGTTCCATAGACCTTTCCTTATTCAGATTGGAACCTACTCTAAACTGGTGCCAGGCAGCCCCAATGGCAGTCCTGTTCTCTGGATGCACTCATTGGCATTTCCATGAGCAAAGACCTCGCTTCTCTGACAAAATTCCAAAGCAAATGTGGCAGAGAAGCCTCTATGCCCTTCCTGACTCTTGTCTGCACCTGGAGGTCCTGATTCTCTTAATCCAGGCCATTTTTATGTGTATGTTTATCTTTATTCTCTAGATCCCTGGAGTTCCTTCATTTTCAGTTTCTCTAGAACAACTTCATCTTTCACTTGTATTGAGCTACTGGTTCTATTCTCAATGGATTTATATAAAATTTCATTTGTAGCCATGACCAGCCAATGGTAACTTGTCATCCCAGAACACCACATTTCCTTCTTTTGTTTACCTGTGTAATATAGTGTGAACTTATCTCTTGCTTCCACTGGAGTAGACACATATCCATATACTGGTAGTCACCACGTCATGCAAACCGTAACATCTTTCTTACAAATTAGCCTTAAAACCTTATATAAAAGTCTAATTTTTAATTTCTAGAAACAATTTTATAAGAATTTTCTGATAATTATCAATATAAGAGAAAGAAGACTAACACATTTTGAGAACCTATGTGCATTCCCATTTCATTCTCTGCAGTAAAATATGTCCCAGTGGACATTATTTGGAGGATATTTCCAAAGAACAATCTGAGATCAGTGACCTTTATTTAGTGTCATATTCTGAATTGGCATAATGAAGGACTTGTAGTTTGTCTTCTGTAATCCAGAGCCTCTTTCAGGCTCTCAGATCCATGTGTTAATTAGAGCTCCAAATGTGAAGTAAAAATATCGTAGCATAATTCCACAAACACCAGACTTGAGGACAGTGGTCCATGGCACCACTTCCACATCAGATGCTTGCTAATGATACAGATCCTGGGCTCCATTCCCAAATCAAGGTCAGGTGATGCTGATACATTCTGAAGTCTGAGAACTTCTCAGAGGAAAAAAGGATTAAAGTTCTCAGAACTTCTGACCTCCTGACATCAACAACATTCCTGGAACCAGAATAAATCTCTGCAAAACTTTAACCAGAAATTATAACAATGCCACTAGCCAATTCTCATACCCAACCTACCACAAATCTTGCAAACATTACCCTGTTCCAACACACACACACACACACACACACACACACACACTCATTTACTTTTAAGTAGTTTTGCAACTCTCTATGTGAACTGTTTTGTAGTAAACAAGGTAGAAATGATCAATTTATTAAGGTATTTTCATTTTTCTGCACAAAAATACAGGAAAACAACAGAAATTAATAGTCTAATCAAATCTATGTAATTGAAAATTTCTTTCAGCAAGTTTCATCAGCATTATATATGATCATTAAGTTAAGAGGTCCTGATATTAATGGTATTGTAGGCAGCATAATATTTGTGTCTTATTCCTGGATGAGCATTCTCTGAGGGTAGAAAGTTCCTGGCTGAAGGGTGTTGGCATTGGTTACCTTCATGCTTAAGTGACGACAATTCCACTTGCTGTTTCATTGCCTGGAGTCATCACTGCTCTGCTGCTTCAAATGGCAAATACTCTAACCTAAAAAAAAAAATTGGTTCTGTGTATCTGCTTTCATAGCATTTAATTTCAGGTAGTAGGCTGAAATCAGGGCACAGGTGCATAAATGCTAGCTCCGTGTTTAAAAAACAAACACAAAAACAAAACAAAACAAAACCCAGAAGTTCCAATCCAGTTTCAAATTCACAGATCTGATTTCACTCTCAGAACTTGACTTTTTCTGCTGCTTAGGAACATGATATAAACCCTTGGAGGTTTGACTCTTCTGTCAGCAGCTTGAAAGTCACACATGCATTCCTGTCTTTAGTGAATGCATTTAATTAGCATGATGTAATAAATTTTAGCAGAAAGTGCTTTATTCCAAACAGTTTATTTTTCCAAGCACGTTGGCCAGAACTCTTTGCTGAAACAAAAGAACCAGCCACCTGCACCTCAAAGTACAAATTAAACACAAAGAACCAGTGTTCAGGAGGCCACCTCCTACCTTGCCCTTAGAGCCAGAGGGCAGCATGTGGCAGGTTCCATCTCCAGGGTCTTCTCCTGATCAAAAGAATAA